CCTAAGTCACTTAAGGTTCACCAATGTCGCTTAACTTTAATCTTAGCTTAGTTTGCTCTTTGTCCCTTTCCAGCTGTTACTCTAGAAAAAGACAAACGTGAATTAAACTATTGTAAGATTAAAGTAAATCGGCGTTTGGTGAAACCGGGCCTTAGGCCTAAGGCCCGGTTTCACCAACGTCGTGTAACTTTAAGCTGAGATTAATTCATTCTTCTTGTCTCTTCTTAACTGTTACTTTAGAAAGAAACAAACACGAATTAAACCAAGATTAAAGTTAAGCGACGTTTGGTGAAACCGGGCCTTAGTCCCGACTGAAAAGAGAGAACGAGACGGACAAAAGAGCGGAGCGTGAGCGAACCGATAGAGTGTATCGCTTTAAAATCCATGTCGTTTTGCGTCAACGTTGCCCTAAGCGCCGATGATTTTCGGCCGAGCGAATTTTCTCCTTCTTGCCGGGCGATCTCGCCCAGGTCTGCGCGGATAATAATCAGAGGGATTGCGAATCGTCGAGCGAGATTTGCCCATCTTGGACCGCCGGTGTGCAATCGGGCCGTGTTGTCGCAACCGAGAAAACGATTCCGTCGTGTCCCGGGGCCGAAAAACACGTCGCTTAACTTTAAAACCTCGGCTCGACTCACCCTTTGGCCCGCTTTTTCATCTTCCGGTTAACTGTTAACCCAGAGGTCGGTCGACTCTCCATCCTTTTCTATATTATTATCTAAGAAGACACAGATGATCGACCAACCAACTGGTTAACGTTTTAACCGGCAAACGGAAAGCCGGGCCTTCGTCTCTCTCCAAGGCAGGCAGTTGGAAGAGGCGAATTAAGCTAAAATTACGTGACTAAGGTCCGGTTTTCACCGACGTTGTTTAAGTTGAAGCTTAGCTCAATTCGTTCTTATCTCTCTCTCTCTCTCTCTCTCTTTCCGACTGTTACTTCAGAAAGAGATAAACGTGAATTAAATCAAGATAAAAGTTAAGCGATGTTTGGTGAAACCGGGGCCCGAAGTCTCTCACTCGGCACGTGAGATAACATTCATCTCGTCGAGACGACGAACACGCCCGTGTCTCGTCCCGGTGGACCGTTTCGAAAACCATCGTCGCGATACGATCAATTCGGCGGCGGGGCAATTAGTCGACGAAACTCGTCTACATTTTTCTAAGACGGTCAGACGGTCAGACGGGGACGAAGCTACTCGCTCTCAGCTCATTTTCACCGCGGCGCGAGATATCGACCCCCGAAAACGTTCCCCGGAAGCGACGATAAGACGGAGAGGCTCGTCGACGCCTCCGTCGCCGGGCGCCCGCGGCGCCAGACGGCCCTTGGGCGCCGCGCCGCGTCGCCTCTCGGCCGCTCGTCTCGCGACCCTAACCGGGGGCCTCGCGACGCGACCGTCGGGGAACCGAGGGCGGATTTGGGTCAGACGGCGACGCGGAGGGCGCGCAGCACGGTAGCCGAGACGCGAGCGCGAGAGAGAGAGAGAGCGAATCGCGTACGATCTCTCTCGCGTTTTACGATCTCTTCCCGGAACGCCGGGACACGCTCCGGCCGCTACGGGTGCGCCTTTCTAAACTCTCGCGCGGAGGATTCACCGCCAAGACCGGCCACGTCTCACTTACCTCGCGAGAGAGAGAGAGATATTCCCAGCGTCGAAGTAATATCCACAGGCGTACTGCTCGGACGATCCTCACCGCGGGGACGTGGAGCGTTGGGGCGCTATGGCGGGCCGCGGCGGTTGACTGCTGCTGCTGCCGTTCACCGGGTCCGTGCGCGCCTTGTCAAAACCAACTTATCGATCGCACTTGAATCCGGCGGTGCAGGAGGCGCGGACGACGGCGACGAGCGCACGATCTCTCGCCGCACGATGGTACCGGGGTATCACTGCCGCTGGCGTTGTTAGTCGCGGAATCCGAGGCGCACGAGAGATCAGGAGCGCGCGCGCGCGCTCTCCGTGAGGCGAGAGCGAGAAAATGAGACAAGGAGAGAAAGAGAGAGAGAGAGAGAGAGGGAAGAGAGACAGACGGAGACGGGGGACGGAGAGACGAGGACGGAGATAGAGAGAGAGAGACAGAGAGACGGGGACGCGGAGAGACGAATCCAGAGAACCGACCGAGCCGGTTTACCGTGAGGAACTGAGCGAGCGGGGTTGTTTGGTCGGGCGGCCGCGGCTTCGGCCGCTTACGCCGCCGCTCGGCCGCGCTCGCTGCCGGAGCGCGCTCGGCTCGCCTCGGCCGTTTCCGCGGCGCGCGGCGGGGCAAGGCAGCCTCGGCGAACTTTTGTGTGCGGGTCGAGGCCGAACGAGCGCGCGAGGAGGACGCGGAGGAGGACGAGGGCCGCGCGTGAGGGGCAGGAGGAGGGTGAGACTTCCCGTTCTTACGGCCGTTACGTGCCCGCATCCCCCGGGTATCCTCGACCTATCTCGTTGACTGAGTTGACGCCGTGGCGATTCGTCACTCGCCGCGATCGCCGCGACGGAGATCGCCGCCCCCGTGCGTCGGCGCCGCGGGATTTCGCCCGGGCTCTTTGTCGAGGATCCGCGGCGGCCCCCGCGAGGAAGCGTTGCGATGCCTTCTCGTTTATGCGCGCGCGACGCCGCGGAACGCTCGAGGGACGCGCGGCGCGAGGACGAGGGGGAATAATCTCGTGTCACGCTCGAGAGTCTCGGAGCGCGTAAGATCCGAATCGGCTGATAGAACGCGTATCCGTCATCCGTCGCCGCGACAGTACTGCATTGGGGGGAGAAAAAAAATAAAACAGAAAGAAAACGGCAGACATATCCATATCCTTGCTCCGCGATACCGACACGGCTTTGCGCCGCTGGAATTTGTTAAAGTGGACGGACCGAAGTTGCGCGCGGAGCGACAGTTGCGTCGTTTCTCCTTTCGATCGGTGGTGTTGATTAAAACTAGCCTCGTAAAAGTAAGCGCCGGGCTCCCCGTTCGATTCAATCGCGAACCGTCCGACGCGCGAGATGCTTGTTTAACGACTGGACGAGTAACAAGGGACTCTCGATAATGGAATTAACGAGCGACGGCGAAATTAAAAAGCGGCCCCGAGAGCGTGTTTACGTTACATCGACCTTTAACGACTGAAGGCAGCGGCGCGCGATGCTGTTCCGTTCCCGGGTTTCTCGCGAGAGCCGAAGGATGCGGAGTTTTGCCTAATCTACAAGGTGCGCTTCGCGTCCAGAAACATTCCGTTTCGTACAAGCGAATCGAAACGCTTGAGTTTGTCGACGGTTGTACGATTGCGCAGCGATGCAATTGGTCGCGACATTTTTTTAGGCTGCGCTTCAAAATCTCCGAGGAACATTTCACGCCACTCCAAAACGATTTCGAGCGTTTTCAATCTATTTAGATGATTATTTGGACAAGGGCTGGTGATTTCCTTCGAAGGCTTCGACATTCGAAGCTTCGAAGCTTCGAAGTTGACTTCGAACTTTCGAAATCTTCAAAGCTTCGAAGCTTAGAAGAACAAGTTGATACGGTACTTAATTGATTTACCTAATTGACGATTTCTTAAGATTTAATTACGCGATCTTAAATATGTAATATACGTGTTATAGTACTATAAAATTATAATTTAGGAGTAATTACCTATTTTTCAACATACATAAATTAGTACTTTTTATTTATTATACAACATTTTTAGTGTTCTTTGAAGAAATTTGCCACTCGCACGAATAAATTTTTCGAAGCTTCGAAGTTAACTTCGAATCATAGAAGATTTCGAAGTTAACTTGGAAGTTCCGAAAATTTAAAAGTTAATTTGGAAGCTCCGAAGTTTTCGAAGTTAACTTGGAAGCTCCGAAGATTTCGAATTTAGCTTGGAAGCTTCGAATATTTCGAAGTTAACTTCGAACTTGGAAGCTTCGAAGTCAACTTCGAAGTTATCAAAAGTTATCAACAGCCCTAATTTGGACCGAGTTCCAGCATCGTGGACGCTTTAGAAAGGGACTTGTTGGCTACAAAATAGAATGTTTCTAGCCGCAAATGGCGCTCTGTGTAGATTAGGCTTTGAGGCTGCATTCTGACTGGCTCCCGTGGGCAATCCAGTAGGCAAAGTATCGCGTGCCGCTGGCTCAAGTTTATGCGATTGTCGAGAATCCAAGCCCCCCCCCCTTTTTTTTACTCGCTACTTGTTTGCGATATCTCGTCAAGCGCCTTCTGCGCCTCCCGCAATCTCCGTGGAATGTTCCTAGGGTGAAAAATACAAACAAATACGACACGCGTCGCGTGTTTGCGAGCCGCGCCCTGGAATCGGCAACGCCAAAATCTTACTCATGTCGCTGGCTCGCGCTTTAAATCACGACCAGGAAGATGGTCGCCGCGTTCTCCCCCTCCCCCCTGTTCTCTCTCTCTCTTTCTCTTTCTCTCCACTGTCTGGATCCTTTGTTTCAGATCCCGGCTGTTGTCCTTCCCTAGACGCGGCGCGACACGTGCGTCTCTCCCTTCCCCCGTCGGACTGGAAATGAGAAACGCCGAGGGCGAGGCGAGGCGAGGCGAGGCTCGTTTCGCCGTTTCTGGACGAACGCGAGGATCGCGCCGAGGAATTCGGCCGGGGGTAATTGAGGTAGGCCCTTGCGCGGTTTTTCGAAAATACAAAACAGAGATGCCCGAGCGAGGGAATCCGAACGCCGGCGATTTAACTCTTCCGCTCCATCGAGAGTGACGACGAGAGAAACTCATTAAGCGCCGAAACTCTTGAGGGAATAATTATTGTTGTCGTCTTATTCACGTACAGTTGGAAAATTTGTGTTTTCTCGTCGAAGAAAATGCCGGTTAAAATTTTCGTGTTAAATGTTTAACACGTTCGTGTGTTAATTTAACATATCGCTCTTGTGTTAGCACAAATTTTTCAACTGTGTAGTTTACTATTTCCTAATTGCGTTGATCCTTTTCGTTACATTTATTGCCATCTTACAGCCTAATTGCTTCTCTCTCTCTCTCTTTAAACTGAGAATTTAGTTGTTGAAATATTTTATCTACGACTGCGATTAACAAACTTTTCCTGACGCAACCAAGTAGTCTGACGTGTTAACAGCGTGCCAATGGATAAATTAAAATGTGCTGGACTGTATTATTTCTCTTGGAGATACAAGAGTGGAAATGTAGAAACATTTGCATATTACAAAAATTAGATACTGTTGAAAAGCTTGAAAAGTCCACTGCTAAATTGATTAAAGCAAAACGCAAGAGACCAATGATGTTTAAGCAGGGTTGGGAAAGTAACTTTATAAAAGTATCTAGTTACAGTTTTTTTTCGCTAAAAATGTAACTAGTTACAGTTACAAGTTACCAATCCTGAAAAGTAATGCGTTATAATTACTCAAAAAGTAACGAATCGTTACTTTGCAGTTATTTCCTTGCGATGAAAATAAATTCAAATCCGCCTTCGAATCGTGAGGCGTCGGTAGAGGCGTTTATACGCAAGTTCAAGACCTGATGCGATCTGTGGAGGTTTAAAAAGTATATAAAGTAACTATTAATGCAACTATTAAATTAGTTAATAGTTATCGAAAAAATGTAACTGAGTTAATTGCCTCAGTGGTCGAATTGGTGAGACGCCCGCCTAGAGTGTAGGGAAGTCCAGGTTCAAACCCTGGCTGGGGTAAAATTTTTCGCAATAAACTTTCTGTATTATTAAAAATGCCAGATATGGTCACGAAAACACTGACGTAACTGAGTTAAGTTACAGTTACAGATGGAGAGAAAGTAACGAAGATAAGTTAGAGTTACCAAAAAAAAAGTAACTGCAACTGTAACTTCGTTACAAGTAACGAGTTACTTCCCAAACAGCGCACATGTCTAAAAGACGACTTAAAGACGTCTTCAGGATGTGTTTTAGACATGCGTGCTGTATCGGTGCCCTGTATCTAATAGCAAATTCGGTTGGTGCACTAGTGCGCACCGAGTGCACACTAAGCCTTGTTTACAGTCAATTCTTACATTTGAAGATCATCTTAGATACCTCTTGCAATATTTCTTATCCAGAAAAATGGTCTGTACCACGTTTACACCGGTCACTTTTTGACTAAATACTCTTTCAACGTGTGTTTAAGACAAAATTAAATATAAGAACTGACTGTAACAAGCCTTGATGCGCACTCATCAGTGCGCACTAGTGCAAGCAACCGAATTCGCTATAAGTTATCATTCGCCGAAGGGGAATAATGAAACAAAACGCTGATGCAACGTTACTTAAAATCACCGACGAAAGAATACAATTTATTTCGGTCTTCTTTATCGTTGAATTACGCTCGCCGGGGACCGTCGCAGGTCTCGTTCGCGGTTCGATGTATTTGGCATTCCGAGCACCTGCGCCCGTGTCGCGTCCTGCATGTTGATCTCGAGAAAAAGGGGCTGTAACGAGTGCCGGTCCGCATAGCGATTCGCGGTTGCGTCGCGTTTTCGAAACTGGAACTTTCTACCGATTTCGCGTTCGCGCGACCCGAGTCGCCAGACCACCGCGAAAAGTCTCGCTAAATCGGACGAGAAGAGGTCGACGAAAGTCGTCTCTATCTCTCTCTCTCTCGACTTCCGCGGCGATCGCTTATTCCTATTCCCGTCGCGTTGTCCGACGAAAGCGATACCGTAAACACATCGCGCTCTCCGCTTCTCGGCGGGCGGCCGCGGAATTCGCTTATTCACGAAGCAACAGTCAGCGGTGGAGCGGATGACCTTAGCGCTTTTCACTAAAAAATCCCGTGACGTAACCCGCGTTGGGAGAAGAAAGTGCCAGAAACGTATGTCGACGCGCGCGACGCCTCCTCGCGATCTCTATGCGTCTCGCGTTAATATTTATACCGCGTGCCGCGGCGTCGCCATCGATCGCGCTCGGAGAGATCTCCGGAGCTCCGCGGCGGGCGATTTAAATCGCGCAAGAAACGAGGGTGTTTTGCGCGGAGTAACGATCGCGCACGGGCGTTGACGAGCGCCACGATGCTCGTAATGACGGGCCTCACACGCGCGCCTCTCCCTCGCCTACTAAT